TTTTTTTAATTTTTGAGAGAGAAAGAGAGACACAGAGCATGAGCAGAGGGGCAGAGAGAGAGGGAGAGAATCCCAAGTAGGCTCCACACTGAATGGAGCTCAAAGTGGAGCTTGGTCCTATCACCTTGGGATCATGACTTGAGCCAAAATCAAGAGTCTGATCCTCGACCGACTGAGCCACCCAGGTACCCCAGTATAAATTACTATCTTACTTTTTTAAAATTAGTAAGTATCTCACAGGGAGTTACTTTGAGACAGTGTAATACAGTATAATACAGCAGCATAGGAATACCACAAGTTTTTACCACTGATTTTAGCAGCCGTTCATGTTTTCTTGCGGGAATCTAATTATTATGATGAGAACTGGCAAATGGTGATTTTCTAATTCCATTATTTCTTCTACATTTTTTTTTAAGTTGGCTTCTGCAAAAACCAACTTTCCTTCCTTCTTTCTCTCTTCCATTCCTTTCTTTTCTTTTTTGGAGCAGAAAAGTTCTTGGGGAGCCTTGAATCATATTTAAAAAATGCCTTCTTACTCTAGCTACTGGATTAAATGGTGATTATTGTTTTCATTGTCATAGAATAATTAAAGGGAGTCAAGATAAACACACTAATGAACTTCAATTATGAGGACATTCCTTATTCTGCTTCTAACTGGAATCATTAGGTATCTCTACTTGTTCATTATCTTTTGACCAAAAGTTGCTATCAGCCCTCCTCCCCAACACCCTATCAGCCATCATACTCCCCTCCCATAAACACACCCAGACACAACAGTTCTGAGATTTCCAGCCAGTCCTGAGCTCTCTGGGAATGCCTGTGGTACTTGATAGTTAGCTTGGAAAGCCCTCCCCTTCTGGACCTGGCACAAATAATGCCACTAGGAAACAGCCAGGCAAATCCCCTCTTTTTACCTGGGATGCTGTGTGTACCAATTCTAAACTGAACGTGAGCGTTTCGGTTACCTCTCATTGTTGGGATCCGACATGGGGGAATTATTTGGACTATAATGAAAGGGGGTCTAGCTCCCCAGTCATCCCAATATTTTCAACACTAGGAGCTAGTGGTGTTGTTAGGGTTCTACTGAAGATGAACAGGAATCCTTCCCCTAAGTCCTTATTTTCCTAAACACACTTTTCCTTTGCAGCAGCTAAATTGTGGGTTGGACATCTCCTCTCACTCAATCCAGGCTTTCTTACAAAACACAGTATGAAAATTCCTTTGTTTCGGACAGGTAGAAACCTTAGTTTATAGCCCTGGTATGAATTTATGCTTTTGCTCCTTTTAAAGGAGAATTTGTAAGGGTAGAGGTGGTAAACGTGTAAGGTTCAGAATACCATTGAAATTGATTGTTCACAGTTTGTTTAAAAACAAAAATCAAATATGCAAAGAAATATATCAATAATTTTTAATTCAGTTGTTTGATTGTTCATGTAAATAACAGACAGTTACTGCAGTTTCTACTCAGATGGAATATATACGTTCTATTTAATACCTGAGTGCTCTCCTAACTATCATGCTCTGTGAAAGACAGAATGAATACAGGAGCTAAACATTCCACGTGTAAATAATTACTTCAAAAATTATAACAATCCTCCAGTTCTATAATGAATTTTTAAATGTGTCCTTCTTTAGGACATGTGTTTTTCAGAAAATCATAAAAAAATCAGTAATTTATTTTCTTATCAATAATGAAAATTTTTTTATAGTAGATTAGCTTACAAAAGAAGTTTCATATACTGTGACTTGCTGAACAAAAGACACATACACGTTTTATTTTTCTTTGGTAATATGAATATTAAGTGTTAGTTTAACATAATTGTAAAGGAAACAAATTATATTCATTTTTAACTTGTTTGAACATACATTATTTGGAAAATAACATGACTGTTATGTGTGAAATAAATTGGAACCATATTTAATAAAATGCACATTTATATTTTAAAATTAATAAGGACTTAATTTCGTGTAAAATTTGAAAATAGATTGTAGTTCAGAACAATTTGCCACAGGAAGTTTCATGATTAAATGTAAAAAATTAACATGTCCTTTCTCTAAAATACACAAGGAAAAAGAAAATGTATAAAACAAAACAAAATGCATAAAAACATTTATAGGTAAGTGATATAGAAAATAAACTCTATAATTTGAAAAGTCATCGCATATACCAGGCATCACAGTAGAATTCACAAATGCTAGAAGTCATTTCAATAAAGAGAAAACCAATTAGTTTTTCCTTGACAAAGTCCCAGGAAGTACACAGACTTCACACTTTCCGAGGCTTTCATGGATCCCCTACCACACTCCTTCTTTTTATTCTGTGTTTCCACTCTTTTCAAAAAACATGAAATCCTAGATAAAAACAAAAATACAGAAATGAATTTTCAGCAACAAAGCACAGATCATAAATGTTAAGGGGTCTGATGAAACATAACATATCTGCTTAAGAGAAAAATTGACCAAATAAGCAGATGTGGGAAAAGTTGATAGCTTTAGCCTTCCATTTTAACAGCAATTAAATCCTGTAATTCTATTCACTTATTGATTACCTACATGCATTTACATTAAAAAAAATTTTTTTTTAATGTTTATTTTTGAGACACAGAGAGACAGAGTGCAAGTGGGGGAGGGGCAGAGAGAGATAGAGACAGAATCTGAAATAGGCTCCAGGCTCTGAGCTGCCAGCACAGAACCGGACGCAGGGCTCGAACCCACAAACCGTGAGATCATGACCTGAGCCAAAGGAGGATGCTCAACCGACTAAACCACCCAGGCGCCTTGCTCTGCATTCATTTAATTAATCCTCTGGTAATTTCTTTAAATTTCACTTTTTCACATGCCACTTAGAATATTCCTCTTTCAATCTTTCTTCCTTTCTCCTTCTCTAGTAATACAACTTTTCTTGAGACCAGAATACACTGTACACATTTCAGAATTTTTTTAGAATGACAGCCATCTTAGAGGTAGCAGGCATCTTAAGAGTTTTTGGGCCCAGTTTTATGATTTCTCCCGCAAACTGGTCCACCACGGTTTCTCCCAACTATCTCACTACATCAGTGTCTAACCAGACCCACTTCCCTATGATTTTCATCAAGTCCTATGGATTTTCTATCATGTCCATCATTTTCCCTTATCTGTTCACAAAGAAAAAATTGAATTCTTATCACCATTCACTTGCAGTTGCACTATTGCAATTTTACCTCTCATCAATTCACTTCTCATCTAGGCACCAGGATTTATCTTCCTAATAAAATAACGATTTTATTTATTCCTAGTTTAAAACCAACCAAATAATTGTCAGTATCTTCCCAACAAGAAGTTGTCCAATATTTAGAAGTCCTTTAGAAGAGGCCCAATCTACCCCACAGTCATTTTCTGATAACCCCACCACAAATCCCCATCCCATTTCTCACCTATCCAAACACCCTGGACTAACCTCTCTTCCCTTCGCATACCAGATCTTTAGTGATGGTATATTTACCTTTGGTCAAATGGTTCCCTATGGTTAAGTTTTGATTTTACTTTTCATGTGAAATAAACAGTGAAAACACAATTTTTAAACAGAACTGTGGTTCTATTTTTAATTTATACAGAAAATATTGAGTCTATCCCCAATGAGATAGAATAGCAAAATAAAATCCCAAAGGCCACTCATCCAGCTTTAATAATTAGTTAACCTATCTTGGTTCATTAATTACTCCATCCCCTAGATCCCCCTGCCCTCACTCTCTTTATTTAAAAGTAAATCTTTGATATCATACCATTTTATACTGAAACACATTCAGTGTGAACCCGTAAAAATTTGGACTCTTGTTTTTATATAAGCCCAATATCATTAGGATATCTTGAAAAAAACAATAATCCATTAAAATATCATCAAATAGCCAATGTTCAGATTTCTCTTAAGTCCTTCTAAATGTTTTTTTATACTGGTTTGTTCAAATCAGTATCTAAATATGAGCTATAAATTACATTGAGTTGATGTCTCTTAAGTCTCTCTCTTATTATGTTATTTTTATCTTTTTATTTTCCCAACATTTATTTGTTGAAATAACTGGATCCTTTTTCTGTATATTCTCTCACTTTCCACTTTTTGGGGATTGCACCCCCAATGTCAGTGTTTCAGATGCTCATCTAGTGGCTCTAAATCTTCCTTGCATATTGGAATCACCTGTCAGTTCTAAACAGATTGCAGGCCTGATCCCACTTCCCGAGATTTTGATTTCCTATCTGGATATAGTCTTGACCTAGGGAGTTTGGAAGCTATTCAGGTGTTTCTATTATGCAGCTAGGGTTGGAAACTATTGTGAGCCCTTGAACTTGGCTGCATATGGAGTCACCTGGGGAGCTGTACAAACTTCTAATTCTGAGCTTCTAATTTAGTTAAATTGGGGTATGGCCTGCTACTTGTTTTTTGTTTGTTTGTTTTGTTTTTTGTCTTTTTTTTAAGTTTCCTAGCTGATTTGATGTGAAGGTAAGTTTGGAATCACTGCTCTGTCCCACATAATTCCTCTCAAATGGCAGTTCCATCTAATGGCTTGACTAGTTATTTACTTTTATTGCAGTTTCACTCCTGTAGTAGATGATTTAATCAATCAGGAGGAAATCTTGTTTTCCTGAGTCTATTCCATGTAAGCCCAGATTCAAGCCAAGTTTCTTTTCCAATGCACTGATTTCAACTTTTAAATAAAAATTCCAAAGACCGAGGCCCTTCCTTATCACATGAGGTCCGTTTGTTATCATATGAAATTGTATAGACTCTCTAGAGAAACTAGTTATCTGTGAACCCAGAGTACCAGGAGAAAATGAAATTTAAGGGCTTGAATTAAATGGTGCCTCTTTGAATAAAGCCTATAAACTTAACAAGGTCATTTAAAAATGTACAGTTTACTAAACCATTTCAGAATGGTACTAGAGAAACCACCTAAACCCAAGATTATTACGGATAGACTCACAATGAGGAAACATGCACCAAGCATTACAGCTTTCATTTTCACATCAAGGTCTAAAGGGAACTGGATACCAAAGTTATCAGCATCTGTAAATGCCTCTCTCACAAAACCAGTCCACTGCTTGGAAATCTTGCCAACTATAGTTTCTTCATCAAGAGATTTAATCTAAAATGGGAAAAAAAAAAGATTCTTAAAGAATTCTAGAAAAATGAAAACAAACTACCGTAAAAGTTGAAATAAAGTGAAATACTCTATTAAAATTAGGTACCATACTTAACTATGAACATTGTATCACTCATTACATATATATGGATTCCTGTATCTACTTTTACATGCATGAAAAACACCTTTGCTGTAGAGAACTTACATGAAAGTAGTTCTGCTTAAATATTTAACATTTCCTATTCTACATTATGATAGGTAGCAATAAATGAATTGATCTAAAACAAAATTTAGGCAGGAAAAGACACAAATATAAAATGTTTCTTAGATGAAATTTCTAGAAGCCATCAGGAAGGTACTAAACTAATCCCCCATGTTACTTTTGTTGTAAGAGAAGCACAGAGAGTTTACATAGGGTGAGCATTTATTTTTTTTTCAACGTTTATTTATTTTTGGGACAGAGAGAGACAGAGCATGAACGGGGGAGGGGCAGAGAGAGAGGGAGACACAGAATCGGAAACAGGCTCCAGGCTCTGAGCCATCAGCCCAGAGCCCGACACAGGGCTCGAACTCACGGACCGTGAGATCGTGACCTGGTTGAAGTCGGACGCTTAACTGACTGCGCCACCCAGGCGCCCCATAGGCTGAGCATTTAAATGTGAGGGAGGGTTCATTGCCACCATCAGCAGGAAAATGTGAAATGCATAGATCCTGGAAAAGAGGACTGGCAGTTTTGAGTAAAGGAAAAGTTAAGTAACCAATAAGTAACTTGATGGGATGCCCCGGGTCAAGGGATAGGTTAAGACTGGACAGTGGGGTGGATGGACAGTGAACAACAAGAAGGATACAAGATAAAAAGAGCTCTGAAGTAAAGTTTTTCTAATTTTACAATTCTGCCTGAGGAAAGCCCAGGGCCATCGTAAAGAGTTGAACAGATTGTAGCTGGATAAATGGACCTCACCAAGTTGGCATGTGGGCGGATGAACAGAGCCCACACTCACCATGGCGTGTACATGGAGAGTTCTGTGAAACCAGAGGGAGAAATGTCCTTTTCAAATATGCACAAGGAACCACAAGTGCTAGCAACACCCACTGAAGCTCTAGTTCAGGTTGAGAACAGGAAAACAAATGTGGGGAAACTAAAAACAGTTGACTCATTTTATTTTGGTGTGGGTAGATGGGTTCTTTAAGATTTGAAACAAACATCTAATATGATAACTGTGATAACATCCATTACCGCTCAGCAAATATTCATGCACTACCCTCCCCCCGACAACTGTAGGCCCAGTATATATCCCTGCACACTGATAGTTAGGCTTGGCCATGTGACTTGCTTAACCAATGGAATGTTAGCAGATGTGACAAGAGAAGAGGGCTTCAACATGGCTAAATGGTTTGGCCTGGCTCTTGCTCCCCAGTGATCAGCCACTAGAAATGCATGATCCAGGTAGCTGCATTTGCTACAGCTGCAGAATGAATATATCTGGTATAGACCTGAGGCCAATTTCCAGCCCAAATCAGAGCCAACTAGCAGAGTTGGATAGAGTCCCTAAGGCAAAGTTGCCCTGCAGATTCATAAGCATGAAAATACGTACCACTGTCTTAAGCCACAGAGCTTTAGGGGTTATTTGTCATGCAACATTACTGTGGCTCAACAGACTAACAGAAATCCCTCTTGCCTACCTGTTGTATACACTACTAACTGTCATCAGCATTTGAAGCTAGTAATGAAACCTTACATGTATTGTTAAATTTAATTTCTCAAGTGTTTTTTAAATGAAATATACAAAAGATAAAATAGCAACCATCACAGTCCTGCCACTGGACTTAACTAATATTGACATTTCTCCTTTATATTCCTAGAGCAAGAAATTTAAAAGTTCACATAAGAAGTAGAACATATAATTTTTTTATGAAAAGGCTCAGAAATGGGAATGATTTACAAATGAAAAGTCAATAGGATCAGATAATTTTTACCTAAATTTAGATATTTAAAAATGGAAAATCTATATAATGAAATGGCTGCAACTTCTCAAAATAATGAACTAGTATTATATACCTATGAAGCAAAACTTGATAGAGGTATTCTAAAAATAGATCTATAGGTTCATCTTATAATATAAATATACATGCAAAAAATTCAAATTGAACAGTAGCACATAGACCTCAGGTAAGTATCAAAAGAATATACTGTAATAAATTGTATAATACTAGAAAATCATAGATTTCAAAACTTAGTGTATCAGACACTGAAAAAGTATTTTATTTACTTGCTAATTAAGCATTTATAGAATATTTAGTATATGTATAACATACAAATGCTTTATAAGTATTAGGTAATTTTTTTCTTCATATCTTTATAAGATACATATATTATTAAACAGTTTTCATATGAAAAAACTGAGGCAGACAGAGTCAAGGAATTTGTCCAAGTTCACACTGATAAGAAGACATGGGGAGGTTTTCAAACCCAGACACTCTGTTTCAGAGTCTGTAGTCAAGACCATTGTGATACCCTGCTTTTAGAAAGTTAAGTATCAATTCTTAATAAAAATCTAGGTCAGGGTGAGCGAACAATGGTCAGTGGGACAAATCTAGCCTGCCCACTGTTTTTATAAAAAGCTGTATTAGGACATAGTTATACACAGTATTCATGTATCGTCTGTGATTATCTTCATGCTACAATGGCAGATTTGAATAGTTGCACACAACGACCATATGGCCCATAAAGTCTAAAATGTTTTCTATCTCTTATTTTAAAAAGTTTGCGGATTCCTGATCTAGGTAAATAGTAATAGAAAATCACTATGAAAAACAGTAGCCAATGTCTTTCTAAATTATGAAACATTTGCTATTTCAATTGAAGTCATCAGCTTGATAGGTATTCACACAATTGGCATTACTATTCAGTTTTGCTGTGAAGTAGACTGGAAAAGAAAAGGAGCTAATTGGTAAATATGAGAAGAGCAAAAATGATTTCATTTACTCTGTGATTTTGTATCTAGAAAAATCAAGTGTAAATAAGCAAAAATGTTTCTTTTTTTTAATAAAAAAAAAAAAAACCTTAGTGTTTTATTTATTTTTGAGAGAGAGACAGAGTATGAGCGGAAAGGGGCAGAGAGAGAGAGGGAGACACAGAATCCAAAGCAGGCTCCAGGCTCTGAGCTGTCAGCACAGAGCCTGATGTGGGACTCGAACTTGTGAACCACGAGATGGTGACTTGACTGAGCCACCCAGGCGCCTGAGCAAAAATGTTTCTTGAAGTTAAATATGAGAATCCAGTCAGAAGACTGGATAAAAGGTAAACAAAAAAAGTAGTCTTTTTTAATATTAACAACAAGAACCTAACATACACATTCCTGCTTAGTAGTGATAATGCCTATAAATTACTTAGGAAAATGTTAACATAAAAAAGAGGGAAGTTTGGGCACCTGGGTGGCTCAGTTGGTTAAGCATCAGACTTCAGCTCAGATCATGATCACCTTGGGCTCTGTGCTGACAACTCACAGCCTGGAGCCTGCTTCGGATTCTATGTTTCCCTCTCTCTCTGTCCCTCCCCTGCTCACACTCTGTCTCTCTCTCAAAAATAAACATTAAATTTTTTTTTTTAAAAAAGGGTCAAGTTCTTTATAAAGAAACCCATATGATCTTATGAAGAATATAAAATTAGATATGAATGAATAAAAAGACATAACACTTCTGGGATGAGAGAGGTTTAGCATCAAATATGCTAATTAAAAAAACTGAATACAAATTTAATATAATAGTAGGATTCTATCTTCTGAAAAATTGCCTTACTATTCATAGGAAAGGAAAAATCTGATAATAGCAAAAACCTATGATAAAGAAGAATAACAAGTGGCTGTTTGGCTAGGACTAGATATATAATGCAGCATTAAGTTACCATAATTGAATCATAAGGCACTTGAAGGAACAGATAATTAGATCAATGAAACAGAGACAAATCTAAAATACATCCCATTACTTGTGGGAATTTAATGTAATGTATTTCAATTCAGTAAGGAATGAATACTTTACTTAATAAATCATGGTGACATAGTTCTCTAGTCACCTGAAAGAAAAAAATGTTCAATCTTGTATAAATACAATTAACTCTTTATGAGTTAAAGATTTAAGTATAAAAAGATTTAAAAGAGGAATAAATAAAATAGAAAGTTGGGGGTAACTTCATAATCAAGACAGGAGAATCAGAAGATACTAAAATAGATATACGTGACTATATGTGACATAAAATAAATAAATGTATATAATAAGTTCCACAAAGAAAGGGTTGATTTGTGGAAACTAAGATCAGAGGACAGATGCAGGATCAATGTCTTCAACACACAAATTACATTTATAAATTGATAAGAAAAAGTAAACAACCCAGTAAAAATACAGGCAATGGATATGAATAGACAATTCAAAGAGAACAAACACAAATAGCCAGTAAAATGTTCATAATCCCTAATGGTCAGGGAATTACATATTTGAGATAACCTTCCCCCCTCCCACTTGCTGATTTTAGATTTCCTTTTTAGTCTAAGTTTACATTTTATCTAAGTTGTCTCTGGGTGTCATTTCTTTTTCTTACCCAGAACTCCTTGCACTTTTTGATTCTGAAAATCCATGGCATCTAGTCTACAGAATTCGTATCCATTTATCTCTTTGGATATCATCTCAGTACATTTTCTGTATTCTTTTTCTGTGACTCCTCTTTGGCATATGCAAAAGTAGTTTATTCTAGCTTTCACATACGTTCAATTTTTTTTGGTCCCTTCAAAAATGTTTTTGTTTTAATTTATTTTTGAGAGGGGCAAGGGGCAGAGAGAGAGAGAGGGAGGCAGAGAATCAGAGCAGAGAGGAGAGAGGGAGAGAGCCTGATGTGGGGTTCGAACTCACTAACCCACTAACCCACTAACCATGAGATCATGACCTGAGCCAAAGTTGAATGCTTAACCAACTGAGCCACCCAGTCTCCCCATCCCTTCAAATTTTTATCTTTTCACCTCTCCTAATTATTTTCCTCCTATAGATCGTCCAGTTCATTAATTCCCTCTTCACCTGTATCTAATTTTCAGCTCAACCTTCCCAATGAGGTTTCATCCATGAGTGTTCTTATTTATGGAATTTCTATTTGGTTTGTTTTCAGATTCTCCTGTCCTTTTTAAAAATAATCTCCTTCTCAGTTATTGGAATAATATTACATCAGAATCCTCTCCAAATTTTCTTTCATGCTCAATTGACATCAAATCCATGAATCCGTTTCCCCTTGGTACACTTGTGAAATGTCTCTGAATTATTTCTTCCTTTAGCATGGCTCCTGCTCCTGCTGTGTTCAGGCCATTACCTCTTTCCTACTCTAAGTATCCATGCCATTAACACTATGATGGAGTCCATGTTCCATAGTGGCTCCTCATACTGATAATTCCTGCTTTCAAACTTTCCATTACCTAGCTTATAGAAAATGATTCAAGGGACTATTTTCTCAATCCCCTCAAAGATGTTACATAGTTAATGCCACCCTAGATGCACAAGAGAGTAGTTAATTTATTACATGTAACAGATGGTTTAAGGCAACCACTGAGAAGGGCTGCTGGTTAGTTTCTAAATTCCTTAGCATTAAATATAAAAGTTTCACAGTCCAGCTTGATTTGTTGCACCAGTATTTTCACTTACTTTCTACAAATATGTCAGCAAAAATTCTGTAATATTCCCTGAAAGAACAATTACCTCTCAGTCCTCTGGTTCATTCATAGGAATGATAACCCCTACATAGAGAACTATTGTTATACAAAAACCTATAAAGTCTTTACACATGCATGGTATACATCCCCTCTACACTATGTATATGGTTTTGTAAGAGTCTTCATAAAGTCTCCACTGTATCACATGTGTTTCCTCAAAACTGCCAGTCTCTCTCATTCTATTCTGAAGTCAGTAAAGGGAAGGATTCACTTTTATACAACTAGGGTCTAACAGAGGAATTGAAAATCATATGACTAGGGAAGCCAGGCAGATAATATAAAAGAATGAAGCTGGACAGTGGCAAACTTTCAGAAGCCAGGGGACAGTGGCAGATTTCACATATCTTATCACAAAGGGGCAGCCCTCCTCAGTTTTAGATTTGTGCCCCTCTTGTGGAAAAATGTTGGTGTAGCTTAACATATTTTGATTTTCCATGAGAATCACGAGAGCAAGATTAAATTATAAAAGTCTCCCTATTAAAAAAATTTTTTTAACCTTTATTTATTTTTGAATCAGAGACAGAGCATGAACAGGGGAGGGTCAGAGAGAGGGAGACACAGAATCTGAAACAGGCTCCAGGCTCTGAGCTGTCAGCACAGAGCCGGACGTGGGGCTCGAACTCACGGACCGCAAGATCATGACCTGAGCCGAAATTGGCCGCTTAACTGACTGAACCACCCAGGCGCCCCAAAAAATCTCCCTATTTTTAAACATTTGCAACTACATTAATTTGGGCTACAAGGCTAGGACATCTATTGGACAACTGCTGTAATTTAATTCCTCCATGTAATAGATACATAGATTATCATGTGGTTTATAGTGATCTAATTTAATAAAAGGAGAAGGAAAGACATAATTGGGAAGTATGTTTTACACTATCTTTCTTAAAACTCTCTCTGTATCATGAGCATTTTGTAGGAACTCAAAGATGTCAGAACTTCTGAAGAAGGGTCTAGCGCACTGGAAACCTGTATTTCAGACTAGGGAAGGATTCATATGCTTTGGCACTCAGACCTAGATGACAAGGTTAGCATTTTTTTTTTTAATGTTTATTTATTTTTGAGAGACAGAGTGTGAACAGGGGAGATGGAGAGAGAGAGGGAGACACAGAATCCGAAGCAGGCTCCGAGCTCTGAGCTGTCAGCCCAGAGCCTGATGTGGGGCTCGAACTCACACACAGTGAGCTCATGACCTGAGCTGAGGTTGGATGCCCAACCAACTGAGCCACCCAGGCGCCCCACAAGGTTAACATTTTATCTTCAACGTTTTTTTTTTTATGTATTTATTTTTTGGGACAGAGAGAGACAGAGCATGAACAGGGGAGGGGCAGAGAAAGAGGGAGACACAGAATCGGAAACAGGCTCCAGGCTGAGCCATCAGCCCAGAGCCTGACGCGGGGCTCGAACTCACGTACTGCGAGATCGTGACCTGGCTGAAGTCGGACGCTTAACCGACTGCGCCACCCAGGCGCCCCAACATTTTATCTTAAATGCATAACATATGGAGCCTGCATATAGAAACTACCATGGTCAAATGTTGGATGTTTTGCATATATTTATTTATTTGACTAAGAAGCTCTGCTTCTCTTTTTTCCATTTAGTAGAGTCAACACTGATGTGTAATCAGAGCAAAAAATCACCTCTCTGACCAAAGTTAAATATATAAGCACACTGACTTCCTCTTGAAATATCAGGATACACAAATTTAATGTATTTATAACATCCTCCCAAATTATATTATTCTTATATGAGGAAAGCAAGACCTATAAATGTTATCACATCTCTTACCTCAAAATCAACATCTGCACAACAGCTGCACACAACACATGGACCAATAATTTTTAGTACATCCTCTCTCCTCTCATTT